TGCTTCAAAGATGAGGCCCACATCCTGCGAGTCTTAGATTACCTGAAAGATATAAATATATTTAAAAAAATTTGAAAATTGTAATTCCAAGTGAAGAACGAACCTTATTTATAACGAATTGACCCAACACATAGGAAACCTATGATCCGGGATGCCCTGGAACAAAACAAATATGGATCAGTATCTATACTACATGTTGTAGGAAAGTACTTACTTACCTGTGTATCTTGCCTGAATACGAATGTGTGTACACGAATGTACAAAACAGCTGCTGAGGAATATCTGAAAGATGGAAAGGAACATACATATTACGTACACAAATAAATCAAATATGCTATTGAGACTTTCCCTGAACGAAAAGAAGCACCCAGATCTACCCCTGGGTGAGAATTAATGACCTATATGGGAGGAGGGATACGGCAAATGACCTCAGCAGTCGACGGCCGTGGGATTAATAAAAAAAAAAAATAAAATAAAATACAAAATAATTATAATAATAATAATAATAATAATAATTATAATAATAATAATCAAAATAATAATAATAATTATAATAATAATAATATAATTATAATAATAATAATTACAATAATTATAATAATAATAATAATAATAATAATAATAATTATAGTAATAATAATAATAATATAATAATAACAGATAGTGTGAGAAGTAACTCGAATGACCCCCATCCAACAGCTTCCTGGGGTCGAAGATGGCAATCATGTTGCTGGAAGCCAAGAGCCCCAGCCCATAATGCCAGACAATAGGAGGAGAAAAAGAACCACGTGGACCACTGAAATGAACAGATTTGTGGTTCGCTCCTACTACAGAATAACTAAACTAGAAACATCTACAGAGCCCTATGGTACTGAACTACACAGACAAGTTATCATGAACTTCCCTCACCTGCAAGGCAAAACTGTGCAAAACGTACTAGACCAGCGCCGATCCGTATTCATGAACAACAGATTGCCGGCAGAGGAGATAAACAAAATAAGAGAAGAGATATCCATAGAATTAGGAATGCAGGTACAAGCTCCGCAAGAGCACACAGAAAACCAAGAACAAATTGAGATAACGATGACCAACCATCTAAATACGCAGATGAGTTCAGGGGCTTGTTCATGAAGTATGATGGTGTGGAACCAACTCTTAAACCAAGCCTACCAAAGCTAATAATAAAACCCCATACATCTGAGTATATCGCTGAAGTTAACAAAGTAATAGATAACGAGATTACAGAAGATACAACCTTGACTGAGCTCCATAGCCTATTGTACATTGGAGCACTTACAGTCCTAAAATTAAATGAACAGAGAGTTGGCGAACAATGTGTAAGGAAAAACAGAAAACTGCCAGCCTGGGAGATGAGGATATCGCGTAATATAGAGGAGATTAGAAAGGACATAGCAATACTCACCCAGTACCCGCAGGTCTGACTGTAGTCTGAGAGTAAAGAGATCCGCAGAGAATGTGATAAACCGTCACTGCTCGGAGGAGAACCCAACAGCCGTAGAAGTCTTGGACTACCTGAAGCAAAAACTAGCAGCTACAGCACTGCGACTTTCGAAGGTACAAGAAAAGCAACGAACGCCGGAAACAAATCGAGCATTCGAGACCAATCAGCGAGGCTTTTACAGGAACTTGCAGGCGCGACGGAGGGATACAGATCAGAACAACGTTCAGATTCCTACCTCAGATGCCATCAATACCTTCTGGTCAGGAATTTGGAGCAATCCAATCAATCATTCCACATCTAAATGGTACCGCCAAGAGAAAGCAAATAATTCAACTTTTAGGACCATGCTCGACTGGAAAGTAAGCTTAGATGACGTGGTAAATACTCTACGAAAATTACCAAACTGGAAAGCCCCAGGATCAGATAAGCTTCAGAATTATTGGCTAAAAACGTTCACTTCAGCTCACGATCGACTCGCAAAGTGTTACACCTCAATCTTAGAGCAACCAGATATGTTGCCAGAGTTCTTAACAATGGGAATAACATATTTAATCCCAAAGTGCGGCGATCACTCGAACGATCCGGCAAAATACCGACCAATCACCTGTCTGCCGACTATTTACAAGGTATTGACTGCTATAATTACTGAAAAGATATATTCACACCTAGAGCGGAATACTATACTAGACGAAGAGCAAAAAGGTTGCCGAAAAGGGTCTCGAGGCTGTAAAGAGCAACTTGTTATAGACTCTGTCATAACTAATTATGCCAAAAAGAAAAAAATACCCCTGTACATTGCATACATCGATTATCAGAAAGCGTTTGACAGTATACCTCACTCTTGGCTGTTAGAGGTGCTTGACCTTTATGGGATCGAGTGCCACATCAAACAATTTCTGGCACATGCTATGGCGAATTGGAAGACACGGCTCTATCTCAACACCCAAGATACGCAATTCAGTGCCGGAGAGGTATCCATCAAGAGAGGAATATTTCAAGGAGACTCTTTAAGTCCGCTATGGTTCTGCTTAGCGCTTAGACCGTTAACAACAATGCTAAATAGCCAAAAGAAAGGAATACTGTTAGGTGGCAATGAAACACGCATTTCACATCTTTGGTACATGGACGACCTCAAACTTTTTGCAGACACCAAAGAACATCTTCATAAGCTTCTGGACTGTGTAAGTAAATTCAGCACTGACATCAAGATGCTGTTTGGCTTAGACAAGTGCAAGATCAGTTGCATGGTAAAAGGCCAGTGGAGTAAACATTCAGGATATGAGCCGAACCAAGTGCAAGGGAAAATTGAAGGAATGCAGCAAGATGAACAGTATAAATACTTAGGCTATCTACAAGCGCCGGGCATAGACCAGAAAGCTGCAAAAGAAAAGGCAATGGAGCACTATAGAACACGTTTGAGGGCGGTGCTGAAAACAAGTCTGTCAGCTCGTAATACAGCACTTGCTGTCAGCACCTACGCTACTTCGGTCCTTACCTATACGTTTGGCATACTGAACTGGACGGATACAGAACTGAACGCACTTAATGTGGAAACCAGAAAAGAATTCCGTAAATACCGGGGGCACCACCCACATAGTTCCATAGAGCGGTTCCATCTACCACGAAGTGAGGGTGGCAGAGGAATACCTTGCATACCTACACTACATCACCGCCAAGTGGACAATCTACGCCAGTACTTCCTCCAAAAAGCCACATCCAGCAGAATGCATCAAGCAATAACACAGACGGATAAAAAGTTGACACCACTAAAACCTTTCAGAAAAATCTTTCGACCCTGAGGCAAAGATAACCCCAATGCAGGATCTGGTTCGCCAATGGAAAGCCAAACCACTACATGGTCGGTATAGGAGCCGCATAGAAGACAACGCCATTGACACGAAGGCTTCCCAAGGATGGTTGCAGTCAGGTAATCTGTTCCTGGAGACGGAGGGCTTCATAGCCTCCATCCAGGATCAGGTAGTCCCAACAAAGTTGTACCGAAAGCGTATAATGCATGAGAACGTTGACGATATCAGATGCCGCATATGTGGGGAAAAAGATGAGCACATAGATCATATTGTAGCAGGGTGCTCTCCCTTAGCTCCTAAACAATATCTTGAAAGGCACAATGATGTGGCCAAAATACTTTATCAAGCTTTGGCTAAAAAGCATCTAGGAGAAACTGGTACACAGCCCTACTATAAATACACGCCGCCACCTGTGATAGAAACGGAGACCTCTAGGCTGTACTGGAACCGTAAAATCATAACTGACAGGCCCATCCCCAACAATATTCCTGACATAGTGCTCACACTAAAAGAAGAAAGAACGACGTTTATAATAGACATAGCTGTGCCTCTTCCTACTAATATCCAAACCACCCATGCGGAAAAATCAATAAGTATTTGCCACTCTCCGACGAAATCAAACGCATGTGGGAAATGGGCAATGTGTCTATAATACCAGTTATAATAGGAGCTACTGGAGAGATACCAAGGGAAACTACACAAGAGTCTGGAAAAGCTACAGCTCCATCCAAAAATATACTTGCAACTGCAAAAAGCTGCACTGCTGGGAACATGTAGGACAGTACGTAGGGTTTTAGGAGATGAGAACCGGATACGGTGAAAAGACCGCTGCAGATCTATTTCCTTACTTTGGCTAACCGCCTGAGGGAAATATTAATACCTTCGACAGAAGAGTAAAATAGTATAAAATAATAATAATAATAATTATAATAATATAATTACAATAATAATAATAATAATAATAATAATAATAATAATTATAATATAATAATTACAATAATTATAATAATAATAATAATAATAATAATTATAGTAATAATAATAATATAATAATGATGATATAATAATAATAATATAGTAATAATATATTATAATAAAAATAATTACAATAATATAATACATAGATTATAATAATAATATTAATTATTATAATATATAATAATAATAATAATATAAAATAATAATACAATAATATAATAATAAAATTAAATAATAAAATTACATAATAATAAAATAATAATAATAATATAAAATAATAATAATAAATAATAAAATTACATAATAATAAAATAATTATAATAATAAAATAATAAATAATAATAATAATAATAATAATATATAATAATAATACAAATTATAATAATAATAATAATAATAAAATAATATAATAAAATAATAATATAATAATAATAATAATTAATAATAATAATAATTAAATAATAATAATAATAAAATAATTATAATAATAATAATTACAATAATAATAACCCGCGTGGAGTTGCTAGTCTCCCATCGGGCGCCTCCCTGTGCGAATTGGGAAACGCTCTCCAGATATGGAGGGTACCGGGGAAATTAAATACCTGGGGTGGACAAAAACTAGCATTACCGCTCTATGGGTTAGCACCCCGTAGAACGTGATTCTAACCGCTGTAAAGACGAGAAGGAATGCAGTTTTGGGCGTGGCAGAGAATCAGGCTGACTCTGTTCGGAAGCGTCAGGAGGCTATGCCTGTCTTGGGATCCAGTGAAGTAGGTGGCACTGACCCGAGGATTGGACCTACCACCACACAGGCGATGGAAATGGAACAACGATTACATCGAAGCTCTGAAGGTGTTGCCGAGCAAATTGCTCGTCCCACTCAAGAGGATAATAGTCGTAGGAAACGGATGAAATGGAGTGATGAAATGAATGAATACCTCTACCGTACCTACCTCAAAATCACCAAAATGGAAACATCAAAGGACCCCTATAGCGTCGAACTCTACCAAACCATGATTGGAAGGTTTCCTGATCTAGCAAGTAAAACACGTCAGAACATATTGGACCAACGACGACATCTCTTTACGACGAACAGGATATCGATAGATAAAGTGAACCGGATACGAAGAGAAGTGGAGAGGGAACTCGGAATAGGACAGGCTGAACCATCACGCGAGCTAGAGGATACAGCAAATACCAGCAGTGAAAGCACAAATATAAGGCAGATAGAAACTGAAGAGAAAACATGTTTTGAAAGGAATTTAATACTGTTCAAAGGCATAGATCCTTTTCTGAGACCAAGACTGCCTCGGTTGAGAACAAATAAGAATACTGTTCATATCTTGAATAGAGTAAATCATCTCATGACGACCAAGTTGTGTGACATAACCGGTATAACTGATTATCATGACCTAATCTATGCCGGCGCTTATACTGTGATTGAACTGCACCATCAAAAGATAAAGCAATCATACAAGCATACTGACAAACACCCAGATGGCAGATGAGGATCGAAGGGAAAATAAAAGATCTACGAGCAGCTATAGGCCCCCTTGTTCAGTACATCAAGTCAGATGCCCCGTCCAACCGGTTGCGAAATAAAGTCACAACAATAACCCAGAGACATCATGATGAGGATAATCAAAATCCGATACAGATCCTCGATAAGCTCCAACAAAGGTTGTCTGTATACGCAAATCGCCTAAAGCGATATAAAGAGTCGCATCAAAGAAAACTACAAAATAGCATATTTCGAACGAATCAAAAGAGGTTCTATCGCTCACTGGAAAACGAAGATGTAAGTACTACGGGTAAAACTCCAGAAGCTAGAGATGCATTAACATATTGGGCTGACCTATGGGAGAACCCTAAGACTCATAATAATAAAACAAGTTGGCTCGCCGACGAAAAGAGGAAAACCGAAAAAATACCCATGATGCACTACAACGTCATAACTGTGGAGGATGTTAAAAGATCTATAAACAACACACAGAACTGGAAGGCGCCTGGACCTGATGGCATCCATAACTATTGGCTCAAAAAGTTCACTTGCACACACGAAACGTTAGCGATGATTTGCACAAGCCTCTTGCAAGATCCAGAATCCATTCCAGCATTTCTGACAACGGGAAACACCTACTTGCTTCCTAAAACATTCCCTTCTGTGAGCGACCCATCAAAATACAGGCCAATTACGTGTCTTCCAACCATATATAAAATAATTACTTCAATTTTATGCGATCAAATTTACCAGCACCTTGAAAGGCATCATCTGCTCCCAGAAGAACAGAAAGGCTGCAAAAAGGGAAGTCGTGGCTGCAAAGAGCAACTTACAATAGATACAATCATCACGGAGGAAGCAAAGGGCTGTAAGAAAGATCTGTATGTTGCATACATTGACTATAAAAAGGCCTTTGACAGTGTTCCTCACTCTCTATTAATTGAAATGCTCCAAATATATAAAATCAGCCCTAGTATAGTGAGATTGCTGCAAAACCTTATGCCTCAATGGAAAACTAATCTTGTAATAACCCATAAAGAAGAAAATATCAACATCGGTGCCATCAGCATTAAAAGAGGTATCTTCCAGGGAGATGCACTAAGTGCTTTATGGTACTGTATTGTATTAGCACCTCTATCTAGAATGCTGCACAAGAAGAACGAAGGTTATAAGCTTCAGAACAACCTACAAATAAGCCATCTAGCTTACATGGATGACATCAAACTAATATCTGCCACTAAGGATGGACTGGACAGGTTGCTTAAAACCATAAAGAAATACAGTGCTGACACAAGAATGGAGTTTGGCCTGGACAAGTGTAAGATTGGGGCTATTAGAAAAGGCATATGGGAAGATCACCCAGGGTTTATGTTGGAGCAGGGTCAGACAATAAGAAGCATGTCTGAGAAAGAGAGCTATACATATTTGGGACTAGATCAAGCAAGGGGTATCAAACACAAAGATATGAAAGAAGCTCTAAAGCAAAGATTAACGAGTAGGGTCAATCAATACTTAAGACTCATCTGTCCGCAATACACAAAGTAAGGGCCATTAACACATATGCTATTCCGACAATAACATATAGCTTCGGAATAATCAAGTGGACAGACTCTGACTTAGAGCAGCTAAACAGAAACATAAGAGTCTTATTTACAAATCATAGAGCAAGACATCCCAAGAGTTCGATCGAAAGATTCTACTTGCCAAGATCCAAAGGGGGACGAGGCGTGATTGACCTTAAAGCAGCTAACCTGCGGAATATAGAAAACCTCAGGAGATTCTTTTATAGAAAGGGCGAAACATCTGCATATCACAGAAATATAGCTTCAGCTGACTACAAGTTCACACCACTGAACCTGTCGGATGAACAGTATGAACCTCTAACTCATGTGACCACCGACGAACAATGGTATCATCAATGGAAGTCCAAACAGCTTCATGGAAGACATCCAGCCATGCTCAGCTCAGATCACATTGATGCAGAAGCGTCACATGGATGGCTGAAGAGTGGGGAGCTATTTTCGGAAACTGAAGGTTTCATGATTGGCATTCAAGATCAGGTGATACCAACCTTAAACTATAGAAAATACATCATGAAAGAAGAAGGCATTGAAGATAGATGTCGCATATGCCATAACAAGTCGGAAACAATAGAGCATATCCTGACGAGCTGCACTCCCCTAGCTTCCACTGAGTATCTGAAGCGCCACGACAACGTGGCTAAATAGTTCACCAAGAAATTTGTTATGCTGCGAATATACTAACTGACCGCACCCCATATTACAAGTACCAGCCGACTCAGTTATAGAAACTAACAGCCATAAAATATACTGGAATAGAACAATTCAAACAGATCACACCATGGAATACAACAAACCAGATATCGTAATTCAGATAAATGAAGCAAGTTACCTGCATAATTGACATTAGTGTGCCTGCCCCACATAACATAGCTGACAAGCAGACAGAAAAGGTTCGCAAGTACTTACCACTAGCTGCAGAAGTAAAAACACTGTGGAATCAAGAAAAAGTTGAAGTCATCCCAATAGTGATCGGAGCCACAGGAGAAATACCTAAGAGTCTACATAAATATATTGAGAAACTAAATCTGCCACAGAACCTATACCTCTCACTTCAGAAAGCTGCTATCTTAGGTAGTTGTCATATAGCACGCAAGGTCCTTAATGTAGCCACATAGACAAAGAGAAACCAATAGTCACACTCAGACGCTTGCAGTATAATGCCGCGTTTGAGGATACCACCTGCAGTAGCAGAGAATAGCTAACAGAAAAACGGGATAATAATAATAATAATAATAATAATAATTCTAGTAATAATAATAATAATAATAATAATAATAATAATAGTAATAATAATAATTATAATAATAATAATTACATAATTAATAAAACAAAATAATATAATAATAATAATATAATATAATAATAATATAATTATAATAGTAATAATAATAATAATGATAATTATAATAATAATAATTATTATTATAATAGTAATAATTACAATAATTATAATAATAATAATAATAATAATAATAATAATAATTACAATAATTATAACTGGCAGAGGCGGCTAAGTAATAAAGTTTTGAGCCTCAGGAGAGACTTATCGAATTTAGTTCACATACAAAATGGCAGGCTGTCCGCAGAGTC